TGAGTTAATAATCTTATTTTCTCTATGTGAAATAGTTTTAGAAATAAAGGCTAGGAAATTGATGCCTTATTCATAATTTGAGTGTTCCATGGTTTGTGGGCCAAAACAAAAAATCTGCTCAGCAGTGACACATAGCTGTACACCTTCACACTCTCCCAGACAATGGATTTAGGAAAACTCACTCTCCGGTTTTCAAGTCACAGGAAAGGCAAGATTGCTCATGCTAAAGCACAGTAGCTCAGGAGGGAGTCATAAAACAGGTCATCCTGATAGAAGAGGCTCCGTTGCAACAGGGCGGCTTTGTTAGTGACTATTCTAAGGAGAACAGTGTCTCTCCTGCCAGAAGAAAAGCAGCTTTTTTTTGGCAAGGTTGGTCAAGGTTTGACTGTCCCCATCACCCTGTTTTCCAGAGATTGGCTGGCAAACTTTGCCTTGGAGCGCCATCTAGGGGGAATTTCAGCACACAAAGGGCATTTTCTTTTGGCTTTGTGATCCAAACAATCAGATGCTTGGGGGTATAGTCAAAAATTTTATTCCTTCCTTCCTTCCTTCCTTCCTTCCTTCCTTCCTTCCTTCCTTCCTTCCTTCCTTCCTTCCTCCCTTCCTTCCTTCCTTCTTTCCACCCTCCCTCCCTCCCTCTTTTCCTCCCTTCCTTTCTTGGGAGGTAGAGGCAAGATGACCAGAAGTTCTACCTAAAGAAACCACAGAAAACAGGAAAGTAAACAGGGACTGTGGGTAGTTGTGGAGACAATAGACGCTATAAATTAGGGGTTTAACTGGGAATAGAGGAGGGGAGAAATACAGAGGGAGAGGAGGGATAAATAATATCAAGGATGTTTGTAAAAGTCATAGGGAAACATTGTTTTATTGTTTACATAAAATACCCGTGTGTGTGTGTGTGTGTGTGTGTGTGTGTGTGTGTGTGTGTGTGTGTGTAAATTCAGTTCTTCTACTTGGAGCAATAATGCTCTCTCAGGGGTATTAGACTCTAACAAACCTTTCAGTTCTGGGCATGGGACACTTCTCTCAAGTTGTTCAGGGGGGTCGAAGAGACTGCCCAACTAATATAGCCCATTGCTGTTGCTCTTGTTGCCTCCCAGAACATGTAGGTAAGACCTGTTCTTGAAGATACTACACACTTCTAATACAATACTTTGAGGAACCTAGCTGGAACTGGCCAGGAAGCCTACGCCCTGAAAACTAGCTCTCATAGTGTCTGAGAGTGTTGTACAAGTTGCCAAAGTAAAAGCACCCATCACCAGTCCCACCTAGCTGTTAAGCCTCCCAACCACACCATGACCAGAATGTGGCAAAATATCCCCAAGGGTGTAATAGTGACACTGATATCTTGGCAGCAACCAATAGCTGCCTACTTGGATTTACATCTTGCTCAAGAGGAGGGAATTCATGTTTGATACTGTAAACCTAGCCAAATATCCATGCTGGTGAGGTTATGGACCCCAGAAGTAAACCTAGTATGGCTACTTTCCCAAACCTATATAATTCCTAACTGTATTCTAAATATGTGTCATTATCCCCAAAGGTGTAGCTCCCACACCCCATCGAAGAGGATTTTTTCTTTCTTTCTTTCTTTCTTTCTTTCTTTCTTTCTTTCTTTCTCTTGCAGCTGATGAAGATTATTACAAGAATCTGCAACTGGTCAAAATGCTGAAAACAACAGACCATGGATGTCCAACCACAATTGATACATCTACAGCACAACTCCTCCACCTAGGGCTCAGGAGCATTTTGGAAGAGGGAGCAGAAGGACTGTAAGAGTCAGAGAACCAAGATGTCTGCTCTGAGAATATGTCTTCTATATATGACAGGGAAGCTGTACCCACGAAATACCAACAATATGGCTACCTAAGCAAGACCTACATTGACATGCCCATGTGGATGGGGATGATGACACCCATTTGATATGGCAATGTGGAGGGGGAGATTTCACAAGGCCCTACTCCTAGATGAAGAACTACAGGTAATTCATGGCTTCTGAGTCCGTCTTCCCCAGGGATGAGCTCCCTGGGGAGCTAGGGATAGGTTAGATAGGTTACCTAATGCCAAGTGGTCAGCCCTAGACATATACATATAGTAATAGCATCAAATGGACCCAGAAAACTGGCATATAATTATAGTTAATTATGCAATTATAATTATGCAACTAAAGAAGAGGAGGTCATGAATTGGAGAAGGAATAGGGGGCAAGGGAAGTATTAAAGAGTGATAAGAAGGGGTGAAAATTATGTAAATATAGTGTTTGTGTATGAAATTCTCAAAAAAATTAAAAATTAAGTAAGAAATGATGCCAAGTTGGGAGGGGGAGAAGGTGGGGGAATATGCCTGATAGGAATTAGGAGGTGTGAGAAGTGAATGTATTCAAAATACTTTGTATGTATGCTTGAAAAGCCTCAAAAATAATAAAAACGCTGTGTTTTTTAAAAAGACGTTCAAGAGCATTGTCAGCTCATAGCTAGTTTAAGGTCAGCTTGGGCTACATGAGTCTAAAAGGAAAGTCTGGAATAATAGACAAGCTTGGTTTTGGTTTTAAGTTGTCACCCAGAAATAAAAGATGTGGTTGCCTTTAATGGAGACAGAATGTCTAGTGAGATCGTGAAAGACCTCAGCAGACTTGAGGGGTGTGTACAGCCCTGGGTACTCTTTCCCCACAGGAGATCATGTCAGAAACCAGATTTGATATGAACTTTGTCTACATAGGCCAAGCAGTCTTCACCGTCTCCAGAATTATTGTCTTGATTCAAAAAATTCCGCTTAATCAGATTTTCCAAGATCAAGCTGGAGAAGACGTTTGTGTGAGGAAAAACACAAGTTGACTTTTCAGCCTGCTGTCATCCTTCACTAAGTTCGGCGAAACTCGAGGAGCAGAAAGTAACGACTCTTCCAGATGCAACGGCGTAGTCTGTGTGCGGGAGACTAAAATAATATCCACTGACATCTTCTTCCCAAAGACGCCTTTCTGCACTTTGCAACCTTCCGCCCGCCTCCCTCGGAGAACTTCAACAGTGACGGCTTCTATTTTTGCAGCAGCATGAATACAAAAACAAAACCCAGACTTTTTGTAACAGTGATGCTCTTCAAGTTGCTGAGCAAACTCAAAGCCCTCTTAAAATACCCTGACATCACGATGCCCCGTTATTGGGGGGGGGGTAGCGGGGCATTGCTGGAGAGTTCAGCTCTACTTTTTTACTCTATGTAAAAGTATCAGGACTGTTGGTACTTCAAAAACGTTCAGTGGTAAAATCTCAGTATTCTCACCTTTTCACACCTGTGGGTGCAGCCTGACCCCCCCCCCACTTCAGACAGATGCATGCTTCCCTGGGGGCTTCTTGTAAAAGACCACCTCTGTCCTTGATACCTACGAAGCACATCAACGCTTCTGTTTCCTCTCTCTGAACAATACTTCTGCTTGCTTATTTTGGCAAGTCTATAAATCCACAGGTTTTCCAAGATAACTAGTGAATAAGTCATTGCCTTGTCTGAGCCAGATTCATGAGCTCTCCACACAGAAACTATTTCTTGCCTACTGAGTTCTATTACAGTTGAGCAAGACAACGGCTTTGATCGTGTACACAGTAGAAGGCAGGACTTTCCCAGTCTGACTACCTCATCCTTGAGAAGCAATGAACTCATTCAAGTTCCAAAGCAGAGAATGAAAACCCTTTAGTCTCATCTGATGCACACTAGAACTGAAGCCAGTCGAACACACGTGGTTGAGAGCTGACTGAGTGCATGGCAGAGTACAGGTGTGCTGCGCTGCAGGGTCTGGGAACACCATGTGAATGTTAGGGGAAGAAGGAATTGTCTTTTCCCAGATGGCTTAGCAGAGAACGAGAGATTGATGACTTAAGACATGCACTATGGGGAAATAAATAAATACTGATTTATTTCAGGAGAAATGGGAAACTCTGTAGAAAAAAATGGCATTGGGTCAGTACCTTAAAGGCTTGGGAGAAGTTTAATGGGCAGGGTGATTTTCATGGAGAGGTAGTATGGTCTTCGTTCATTTGGACCAAAACAACACATTTTACATAGAAGTTCTAAGTTTGTATCTACATTTTCACATGGATACAAAAACATGAGGTATTTGCATTTAGGTTGTAAGAATCCAGAACCCATCATCTATTTTTTGCATAGTAAATATATCTATGTATACTTACATGTGTGTATATATATATATATATATATATATATATATATATTTGTTTACATTACGGAGTAACAGGAAGCCTAACATGTTTAAGTCAGAAAACATTCTTCTTGGTCATTTAACAGTGCAAGTAGAAACCAGACCAACATTTCTTACTAGTAATGGGAACAAACAGAGGGTTTTGTGTTTTGATCCTTGCAATCAACATTTGCTTTCAGAGTTAATCCCAAGGCCTTTTCTGGCTAGCTGTGCTGGTGTTCTCTATAAATCACACAGGCCTCCATCAATGGGTTAGAGCCCAAGGGACAGATAATTTCAGCTTAGTGAGCTTCTGAACCCTGTGTGTCCACTCTTACTCTCTCCTGCTCCTGAGGCCTCCTTGGGCGTTTCCCCAAGCAAATGTTTTTCAGAATTCCATATTCTCATAGTCATATTCACATGCCCTCTTGGGTCTTTGCTTCAACCCAATCTGATTCAGTGATTTCTCTGCACTGTTCCTCCACAAAGAAATTATACCAGAAATCAAAGTGTTAGGGGTAGAGAGTCAGGATGGACAAGAGAACCAGCTTACCAAAGGAGAACCCTAAAAACAAAAAACAAAAACAAAAACTCCCTGGTCTTCATTCTAGGGCTGTACACCCATGTTAAGGTGTTAATGATTTTGTAGCTTTAAAGACACTGTTGTCAAATATACATTACCATAAACAGGATGTGTATGGGTTGCCATGGAATAATCATGGGCAATTTTTCAGTGAAATAGAAATATATAGGAGAAAGCCAGGGGGTGCATACGAATGGAAGGTGACCTTCCACCACCCACAGGCACACTTACGGTGAGCATGGCAAACATCAGCTGGCACACGTTGAAGGCATGTCTCCAGTTGTGGTAGAGGACCATTCGGTAGTTCTTCCTTACTGTCAGAAGCCACCTGCACAGGGTCTGAAATGGGAGGGGGGTGGTGTCAGGGAGTGGTTTGTGTCCTCGGAGGACCACTGCTAAAGTGATACCATAAGATGATAGAACTTTCCACAAAGGGCTGGCCAGGTGGCCGAGTTGCTGATGTGGAAGACTCAGATCTGGTTCACGTCTTTACTGGTTAGAGGGCATCTGATAACCTCTTCTGATCTCCCTGGAGACCAGGCATGCACATGGTGCACATACTTACACACGGGCAAACCAGTCATACAAAACATAGGACAAATCTAATAAAGACATTTTAACAAAACAAAGCAAAACCCTAAACTTCATGAACACTCTGCCAGATTCTCATGGCACTTCCTTGGGGGCACACAGGCAGGGACCATCACCTACATCATACCTTTGGAAAGCCTTTACATCACAGTGGCTACAACACTGTATCAGGTGCACCCCTTAGCTTCAACACGGAACATCTTACCTCATAGTCGATTTTAAATTTCTGTACCATCCCCAGCTCCATGAACATCCGGAGAGCAGCTGTGATCATGGCGTCAACATCAAGGGAAAAATCATCAAAATGGATGTCATCAATGGCCAGTTCTGACACCAGAGGGATGTTGGCTGCCTACAAAATCAAAGACATAAGCCAAGACAAGTTCACCAGCTTTACCTAACCCCATGTCCCACTCTCTCCTGCTTATCAGCGGTGTCACATAAATCAGGCCTGACCCGCACTTACACTCTGATACTACTAAACTCGGAGCTATAAATGTCTTTTGTTTCTGAGCAGCAAATGCCCAAGGAAAAGGGAGAGGGAGGAAAAGAAGGGAAGCTAATTAGAAGATAAAATATACATACTGGGTCTCTCCACACAATTCAGAACATACAGCTGTCTAGTTTACTGGGACTGAGGCCATACAATATACACTCTGGTGCATATTGCTACATGCAGAAACATCTGGGTGGCCAGCAGCTATGAATTTTATTTGCTTCTATGAAGAATAGGAGGTGGGAATACACTGTTCTCCTTGCTTCTTCCATGCTTGTATCCTGTACCGTGCAAAAATGCTCTCTATTAAACACACATTCTGTATATTCAGAAAGATGTAAGAGGCCAAACAGCTCATCTCTGGCACACAATGTCCTTTACAGATGATCAAACAGAACTGCCTGGAGAGTCGGCCCGGTTTCACTTAAAAGATAAATTTTTTTCTATATTATTTACAATATACAGTACAATTCCAGTACTGGTCATACATATTTAGGGTTTCCAAACATCCCTGTTAGGTGGCTGCCAATCTGTTATCCTGCACAAACCTAGAGGGGAGGGAAACTAAATCTTCAGAAATCATTTTTATGCCAATTGGTTGGGTTTACTGTGCCATTTGGGCCACCCTTTCTGTGTTGGGGGGTTATTTTATGACTTTCAAGTTACCAGAGACCATTGTGTATTTGTATTCCTAGTCTATTCACTGGGTATAAATTATCCTGCGAGTAATTTATGCCCTGGAACTACTTTGGCTAAGCAATTAAATCCAGCCCTGGTCACCCCAGACATTCCAGAAACCACATAATCAATCCTGCCTCTCCAACCCAGTGCTTTTTCTACAAAAGTTTATGTGCCTAAGCTAAAATACAAACAGTGGTTATTGCCCACCCTGTGGATGAGCAATGGCCAAATCTATGTGTTGGAACAATCAAGCTTCCACCGGAAGACTTTACTTCTATTGAAATTTAATTCCCTTAGGCTTTATCAAATTATTTTAACATACCAATAGGCTTGCCGGTACTAGATTCCTGGAATTAAATGGTTAGGCTTTTGAAATTCTTAGTAGTAGATATCGTCTTGGTGTGTATGTTTCGCTACGAAAATGCCTTGTTTATTTATTTACTTTAAAACTTTTTCATCCAAGTTAGATAAATCTATATTAGTTTTTAAAATAAGTGTCCAAAGTAATGGGTTTCATTATGAATGTCACACATGTGTGTCAAGTATTTTGCTCAAAGTCAACCCCTCTCCCATCTCTCTTCCTGTTATCCCCGTTCATCTCCACTAATAGCCCCATTTCCACTTTAATGTTACATATATATCTGAATATATACCCAACATATGAACAAACCCACACAATATGTGCCTTTCTAATTCTGGCTTATTTTGTTTAGCATGATGATTCCAAGATCCATTTTATTTATTTATTATTTATTTATGCTTGTCTATTTATTTGCTTCAAGTGGCACAATTTATTTTTCTTTTGGTATTTGTGTGTGTGTGTGTGTGTGTGTGTGTGTGCCTGTTTGTGTGTATGTTCATGCATACACACAATTGTGTGAGTGTGGCAGCCAGAGGTTGACACCACGTCTTCTACTATCCTCTCTGCCTTGCTTCCTTTGAGAGAGGGCCTCTCACTCAACTAGAACTCCTTAGTTGGCTAGAATGTCTGACGAATGATCTCTAGGGATTGGCCTGTCCCCTGTTTGTGCCCACCCGTGTCCCCTGTTTGTGTCTGCCACAGCACTAAAGTTGCAGAGGCGTGCAGCTTTATGTGGGGCTGGACATCTGAACTCGGGTCCTCATACTCCTGCAGCAACCATTTACCCACTGAGTTGTCTCCCAGCCCAGCTCCCTTCCTTATGACTGAACAAACTCTGTTTCATTGTATATCACCGTCGACATGAACCACATTTTATATATCTATTGTTCTGCTGACAGACATTTAGGTTGATTCCATATCTTGGCTATTGTTAATAGAGTGGCAATAAATACTTGGATTTCTGCAGGATAAACACATGAGTGTTGAGAATGAATCAGCTCCTCCATGCTGTTACAAGCATAGACACACAGTCATATTCCTATGGCAACAATTGACAGCAACCACTTTCTACACCTAGATTTATTTTAATCAAATAAGATTATTGCAATTTTATTACTTCTTACAATTATTTCATTTTAAGAATTATCCATGTTCCCACCACTGAAGATAATGGTCAATCTGACTCATTACATATGACCACCTCTGCTGCCTCATGTACTGCCCATTTCATGTATGCATGCATACATACATATATACATTGTTTTGTTAGGTAATATTCAACAATTATATCATTATGCCCTGTTGCAAGGTATTCATAGTTAACTCACACAATTTACTCTGACCACCTGTCAATTCCTTGACTTAAACTCTGTGGTAATATTAGTGGTAGTTCGTTAGCCTTCCAATAGAGCAAAGGCTGGCCTTGAACTACCTCCTGAATGCTAGGACTAGTTACGTGCCACCATTTTGGGCTAACAGTCTTCTTTGCTGTGTGCTTTGTTGTCTATGTGCTTACCATTAATTCAAACTTCTTGCCAAAGAAATTGGGAGAGAAATTGTTAATGGCAACCTTGTCTCCTTTAGAAATGTAAGGTTTTAGTGATCAATCTATGGATTTCATGAAAAGATGTCTCCAGGTTCCTGCTTTGACTTCCCTAGATGAAGGACTACAACCTGTAAGGTTCAAGTTGCTTTTGGTCAGAGTTTTATCACAACAACAGAGAAACAACCAGGACACTCCCTCACTTCTCTGAAGATATTAATGACAGTCCCATTTGACGTTTCTTCTCCTTCCCTAGTTTTTACCAGTTTGCTTTGATCTTTGTTCTTATGGTGACAGAAACACTTGTGCTAATTTGCACAAACATTCAAGCAACAGAATTATTAAACACATGTACATTGTTGTATAGCAGACCTCTAGAACTTCTTCATCCTATGTAATCATTCCCACTGAGAAACGTCTAATATTCAATTCCAGCTTTTAGCAACCACCATTTTACTTTCTGTTTCCAAGTTTGGTTTTTCTAACTACCTTGTACTTAGGGACTCGTGCAGTGTTTGTTTTTATGTGACTGGCTTGGATCATGTAAGTTAGTAAATTCCCCTTTAAGGACAATATGCCAAGGGGTGTGCATCCACTACATTTTCCCTTTATCCTCAGATGGCTCAGTGTCTTCTTCAATTGGTCTCCAATAAGGGAGTTTGAGAGATCAGAGGCTTTCAAAATCTGGGAGGTTTCCCTTAGGTGTCCGGTAATCTTTGGTTTCCCAGTGTTGCTTAGAAGTTTCTATTACAGCTTGGAGGTTGCCCTGAGGAGAGGCTGCATGACCTGTTTTTGTGGGGATGCTATGTGAGGTCAGCATCCTCATGTCTTTATTGGCTTCTGTTATCTTGAGCATCTGGCTGCTATCTGGTTTTGAGTCTACAGTGGGGTCTGGGGAGCCTTAGTGTGGAACTGTTCATTCAGTCCCATCCAGCCTGCACTCTTACCTGCCTCTGCACAGATGGTCACATGCAAAAACTCCAGACTTCAGAAGAGGGACAGAGGATCCTGATTCACCTGCCCTTAGACTCGATGTTTTCCTGAAGGGGCCCAGCTTTCACCCTCACTCAGAGCCACCTCCCAAGCTGTTTGTAGGGATGAGTGGATGGGATAAAGCTGACCTCTCTCCTCTGTACTGTCTTTCTGTGGTTTGCTAAGCTAAATCCCATTTATCTGTCTGTTCTCTAGGTTCCAAAACACTGTCATTAGTAATTTCTCAATTGATTTGGCTTTGAGAGTTTATACCAAAGCCTCTATGACTATTTTTTAAAAAGGCCTAGGAATGGAACAAAAGAGACAATGAGAAAGCTTAAGTGACTATTTTAATTAATAAATTATCAAGATGTTGTTATTAAGTGATACTTTTTACATCACCAGCTTGGGCACTCAGAAGTAAGTCAGAGTTAGTATTCAGTCCCTTCTAATACATGTGACTGGCAGCAGCCATGTGTATTGTGGTTATGATCACATCCATCGGGCTGTAATAACCAACAGATACCACGCTGCTTCTCCTTAGGAAAGCCCCAGAACAGCTTTGTTCCCTTCCTGCTTTTGTGGTTTGCATATAGAGAATGCCAAGTATTTGAAAAGATCTACATTTGTTCAAATTTAAGAGCAACCAGAATACTGCTTCCTAAGGGAGAAAGGCACTACCCTAAATGACACAGCTCTTTGTGGTCTCAATAGAAAGTCTGTTTCTGAGTTGAAACAGGGGGCTGAAACCTCTTACCGATTGTCACCAAAGATGCCTAAGTGGCAATGGCTACATCATTGCTGCTCTCCCAGTGGCCCCTGTCTTCCGGTTATTAATAGCGTAGGCCTCGGTGCCATTATAAATCCTCCCCCCTTCAAAGGCACTAAATTCACTTAATTACCTAAAAAATTAAAGAATATAGGCATTTTTTCATTATGAAATGTTAATGGAAAGGAAATAAGAACATTAGGTTGAGAAATGGAGGATGACCTCTGGTTTACTAAGACCCAACCTTATTGACCTTGTCTTTTTTCCCTAATAGGTTGATTGATCCACAGTTAAATCATACCAGTCCATACATCACCCTGAGCCCTGCTGTAAACCCTTGCTGGCATGTAAAGATGCATAAAACATTCCCATCAGGAGAGATCTTTTTTGACCATTTTACCAAATATGGGCAGTTTGCATCTATCTATTATTGGGTTCAAGAACAGGTTCCCAACAGTAAAGAATAAAATGCAGAGGACATCCCGAGGAGATAGGTGTGGCTGTCTCACCTGCAAAAGCCCCAGGGACAG